TTGCCTCGGGAATGTGGGCATTTTTTTTTTTTTGTGCGCGTGGTTTTCACGCGCCGCTGCACGCGGTGGTTGGCGTCTTCTGAAATTGGGGGAATCTTTTTGAAACGGTGGAATTTTTTAATTGGGCTTTTAATTTTGATTGCGTTTTGTGGAGCGGTGTTTACCGGTGGGAGGCGCCGGAAACGTGGAGGAAGAAGGTGGAGGTGGGGGCAGCTTGTCGCTTTACATTTTATTTAGGGTAATTTGGTCATTTGTGTTTACTCGACATTTATTTTTATTTTTATTTTTTTATCTGGGCGGTGTGCTGTTCAAAATACAATATGAGGGTCTTTATGCTAATTAAATACTATGCGGGGCTTTTTTTTAGCAATTAAAGATAATACGTGGTTTTTCTGCAATTAACTCATTTTATGGATGACAAGAGACTTTATTAACGGAAATCTGTCGATTAATGTACTATAATTTGATTTTTAGGGCTTAAGATATACATTTTTAGACAACTCACTAGAACTAAATAATAACTTATCAAAATTGTTGTTACAAAGTTTTTCTTAAAATTCATTTCAAAATTGTTCCTCCACAGACGAATTTGAATTTTGCCCTTAGTAATTTCTCATATGGATTTAGCATTTTTTTAAGAGAAACGATGAGCATTTATTTGGCAAAATACGCCAAGCTGGGAGGTACAAATGAACCCTCTGGACAACCTAAGTATGAAGCACTAGCAAGGAAGTGAGCTGGTTGATTACAATGATGTTTAACAAAAGAAAACGAGCAACTATTAAAAGATTTGGCAGTAGTTTTAATTTCCTCTATAAAAGCACAATAGGACGTGAGAGAATTATTTTTGTCCTGAAGGTCTCCGATGATATTCAAGCAATCCCCTTTCATAATGCGGTTGGTCCCGTGAATACTCCGCCGGTATGAAAAGTTCTTAATGTTAATTGAGTCAACCTCGACGAGATGCTTTTAGGATCGCTTTAAAGGCAGCGTGAGCTTCCCCTTTGATAGGTCGAATCATATCCGGCGTCCTTTTCACGTTCCACATATGGATATGCATTTGCTACTGCATTTATTATTTTTCTTTGTTTATTTTTCTTTTTTTTTTCAAAACAAAAATGGACTTTTTTGTCATTGCATAAAATCTGATTTATTTGTTTCATTTCACAATTTTTTCACTATTACAAAAACCTAATTTTTTCAAATAATATTAAAAATTATGTGAAAACATATTTTTTTCGTTTTTAATTTAATTTACATATTCTTTTAATTATTTTTTTTATTTGATATTATATCGATAATGTAGTATATGAAGCCGACTATTGTTCGACTGTAATTATCTATCGTCACGCACAGTCAATATCGTCACGCGTAGACATCTAAAGCATAAACTCCACTTTACCGCAAGCCTCCGCTCATATACAATAATACTGTATAGTGCATTATAGTGTACTAAGATCTACTATGATATGCTATAGTGTGTTATGTTATATTATTCATAACCCTAGCAGCAAGACAACTGCCAGCAGCCGCCAAACCCTTTCCACAAAACCCCAAGGACTAATCGTCGCATGCCCGTGCAAGATACCCCAAAACCGTCAGCGAAGGGATCCCCACCAAACGGTCACCAAGAGGGAAACGACAATGCAATGATAAAACGAACACAACAATAAATTAATAAATTCAATTCATACAAAATTATAGTTGACCAGAAAATAGAATTCGGGGGAGAGGAATCCAATTGTAGTGAAACCATCCAATTCTGATCACCTGATCACATGTACGACTCCGAGAAATCAAGAATTGCAGAACTTCTCACACGCACGAAAAACAAAACACATCAACAAATCCACATATCCAGATCATATGAAATCGTAGTGAGAGGATAGACATTGGCAAGAGGAATCCAACGGTGGTAAAATCGTCCAATTCCGATCACTAGGTCTACAATTACGCATCCGAGAAACTAAAAATACGTAACCTCTTCCAACACATGGTATAAAATGAATACATAAACAAATCCAAGATCCAAATCAAACGAAATGACAATAAAAAAATAGAGCACCACGAGAAGAATCCAAATAGGATGACATCATGTAATTCCAATCACCGGATCTAAAGTTACGACTCGAAGAAGTACTATATGCGTTTGAGAAGACCTTAGATTCGAAGTTTTGTGTGTAAGAGAGGTGAGTGGAGAAATAAATTCGCAATAGAGAAACGTCAAGAAATATGATTGATTGAGATTATAAGCACAAATTACAAATTAGATATACAAGTAATCAGGGATGTAGGTCATACTTATTTTTAAAATCTAAATTTAGTTCAAAAGTGAAAATTATAATTTAAAATGATAAATAATATCGAATAATTGAAATTATATTTCCCCAAAACGAGAGTTAATTTAAAGGGATAGAAACATAAAATTAAAGTTGAAATGAAACAAACTCTACAATATGTTGAATATCATCCACAAAAGAAATAACAAATAATTGCTTATCAAAACCAACATTTGTTCCACACACGTGCCATTCATAATGTGGGAGTTTCTAAAGAATTATTAATAGTTAGAAAGAGTCAAATCATCAAATAGTTTTAGGCTCCATAATTAATGGTACTATATGAATAAAGTAAAGACTTGTATTCTTGGCCATACAAAGCTATACTTTAATCTATTGCCAATTACTTAACCAAAATTGACTTGGTAACAACTCAACTATATAAAAGAATCCTATATTGTAGTTTTATACATGGCTTAATGAAGTTGTACTACATGCATTTATCTTTATCATCTTGTGCTATATATTATAGTATTTAATGCTTTTTTTTTATATATATAATTAAAAGAGTGAAATCTTATTTGCAGATATCGTGGATGTAGGGCACATTTGTATTCGAACCATTTTAATATCGTATGTCTTTCATTATGCTTAAGTTAAATTTCATAACATCACAGGAAATATTGTTTCAACGTCGTTAATGTCTTAATAGTAATCTATCTCAACAGTAATTTGTGTTAACAATAACTTGTCTCAACAGAATGATTAAATTTCTATACGTATATAAATCAACAAAATTAATAATTAATTCCCATATATCTCCGATCCCATTACTAGGACTACAACAAAATTTGCAAATCCTTGTAATAACTTTGTCCAAAAGACAACCACAAAAAAAAAAATTAAATAAATAAATTGCGTACAAGTAACTATCATAAACCCCAAAAACAATGCCCTACCACTTGTCACACAATTTGTTCTCACCATTCATTATGCAAATAAACTGTTCATGGTCACAACTTTAATTAATTTCTTAAGAAAGCAATTAATTCATCATCTTGATTCACTATATATATTGAGTTCCAAGGCACAAAAAAATAGTAATTAATTATTTTCCAACACTTGAAGAATTACTAATATATTTAAGATGTGCGGAGTAAGAGAAGAAGAAGCACAACTAATAGTGAAGCAAAATTTATGCTCAAAGGCTCCAAGAAAAGAGATTTTGTGTGAGCTTTGCAGCTTAAAAGCTGTTTTGTATTGCTTAGCAGATAGTGCTTTTCTGTGTGAAAAATGTGACAAATTTGTTCATGGTGCAAACTTCTTGTCGAATCGGCATATTCGGTGCTTCCTCTGCGGCGGCTGCCGGAGTTTTACGCGGCGGTGTCGTGTCGGCACTTTGGAGGTGATGATCAGATATAGGAGGAGCAAAGATCAAAATATTATATTGTAATTTCTTGATTTTTAATTATTATTTATTAATTAATTTATTTATTTTTTGTGATTTTGGGATTGATTATATTGTTTTAGCTTCATATGTATTATGTATGGATTATTGGGTTTTTGGTGATTGGAATTTGGAAGCATTGAATAATATGTTATTGATATTCCAAGAATAATTCTATATCCAACTCACATAATTAATATGGTGTTAGCAAAGTATTTAAAAAGTGATTGTGAATTAAGTTGGTATTAAACGTTTGTTTCTAAATATTAGTGGTGTCTGCAAATAAGTTGGAAAATTAATTTAAATAGAAAAAAAATGGTTTACAATAGTTTTATTCAAATTGAAGTTTAAAACATCTTATTTTAAGAAAAATAAAAGCAAAAGCTAATTTTGCAAACACGTGAAAACAGATTAATTATGAGAAAAAACAAATCATATATTTCTAAAAGTTTTTGCAAACACCACATATTTCATATTATACTTCCTATGTCTCATAAGATACGTTTCTTTGGATAATTTTTGTTGTCCTTATTTATTTATCACTTTAAATTTCCAATGCAGCACTAATTATATATTTTTCAATTTAATTACCCTTTATCATGCTTTTAGTTGATAAATAATTAATAATAAGGATAATTAAATTAGTGATTTCCTATATTTTATTTACTATAATCAATACAAATTTATTGATTTTCTTAATATGTGTGCAACTACTGAAAACGTCATACAATTAAAAAAATTAATTGCATGCTAAAAACAAAGAAAAAAAGGAATTATTATTAATATTAAGCAAAACACATAATATAGTATATATTGATTACTAATACATAACAACAACAATAACTCACCATCATAACATAACACATAACATAACACAAGACAGTGTTGATGACAATTAATTTTACACACACATACATCAACTTATTCAATCATAATTAATTAATTCCCTCAAATCATATATATATCATCCATTAATACTATTATTACTTAACCAGGTTGGAGTTTCGGGTTTCGGGTTTCAGATTTCGGGTTTCGGGTTTTGGGTTAATTAATTAATTAATCATCGATACCTTTAGGATCACCACTATCCATCTGATGATCATCCATAGCCCAAGATCCATCATTCCTCTGAACAAACCCTCCATTCTTCTCCCCCCACCAAAACCCGGGCACCTTAAACTCCGGCTTCAGCATGTCGGAATCTTTATTCACGAGGTTAATATCCCTCTTGTTCTTCCCGGGCCTCGCGGTGGCGATCGTGTGCAAGTACGCCGACTCCAGGAGGTGCCCCGTCAGCGGGTCCCCGGGCGCCCTCGTGTCCGGGGCCCTCGTGCTGTTTATCTTGTACTCCACCCCAACGTTCTTGTAACCCGCCGCGGCCCCCGGCACGCGCGGCACTATGTCGGGCACGTTCCGCACGCTCAGTACGCGGCAGTCTTTCGTCGAGTCGAGGACTTCCTTGTATCTACGGTCGCCGACCTGTGGGGCCGCGAAGGTGATCGCGGTCACCGGGCGGGACTTGTTCAGGCCGTTGTAGGCTATGTCGGTTGCGTTTATCGTTGCGAGTGCGCCGCCTAGTGAGTGGCCGGTTATCGTTATGCTTACGTCTTCGCCCTTGTGCTTGTCCAGTTGTTTCTTCACTTCTGATAGAACCTGTATACAGTTAAACCTCTATAAATTAATACAGTCGGGATCAGGGAAATTTTATTAATTTAGCGAATTATTACATTGTCGAGTTAATAATTTTACACGTTTTCACCAAGTCGGGATCGGAAGAAACTATTATTTAATCGAGGTTATTAGTTTATCGAGGTTCTAATATATATTTATATATATATATATATATATATATATATATATATATATATATATATATATATATACACACACACACATGCATGTGCATGGGTTTTTTCAAATTTTTTTTATTTAAATGTAGAAGAAGAAATTTATATAATTTAGTAATTATTAAAATATTTATAATATGAGTTCTTACAATAAAATTAACCAATTTTGAAGATTAAAATTATATTTAGAATAAAGTGTGTAAAAAAACATAATAATAATATTATTAATTTACATGTATTTATTTGAGAAATAAAAAAGATTGGAATTATTTTCAGAAAGTATGTCACATGTATTTTAATTTATGGATGATTTTTTTTTAAATGTATAATTTATGATCTAGTTATCAAATTATTAAGACACTTCATCAATTAGAATAAATTAATTGGGTAAATACATATAGTTTAGAAAGAAAAAAAAAAAATCATAGTTTTTAAAATTAATTTCCTACTTATAATTTTGGCTCAATTCATCACTTACACCATACGAAATATTTTTTTTTATATATATATACATATTTTTCTACTACTTTGTATTCCATATCAACTACGTCTCATTTTACTATTTTCATAACTTTTTTTGTTATTAAATGTTTACCTGATCCCTAGCACTGGTCTTATTAAAACTCGACGACGCACTCTTGGCGGTATAAATCGAATGAAACCCTTGGTGCAGCTTCGCCCCGGAGGCGCCGCCGCCGCCCATAATATCAGTCGCCGGGATAAGCTGAGCATCGGCATCCTTCATCCACTCCACCGGCAAAACGGTCCCCCTCCATGCGACGAGGATATCCCTGCGGCCGAGCGCCTTCGACCCCTCGTTGGTCGACACCGCCACGTACCCCATCCAGTTCGACTCGTCCATCCACGGGTTGTCCGCCATCGACTTAACCATGAACCCCTGCGGCAATCCGCCGATGCTCGCGGTGGCGTAGATGTACTTGACGGCGTCGTACCTGTAGGGGCTGCCCTTGGCGGAGCCCGTGGCGTGGAAGAGGTTGTTCCTCGCGTAGCGGCTGCTGCCGGCGTATCTCGACATCTGCTGCTTGTTGAAGGTGTCGTACGTCACCTGAGCCATGCCGCCGTAGTGGAGGAGGTACGTCTGCATGTCGGCGTCGAGCGGGTTCAGGAGGTTGCGCCACCCGTGCTGCCCGCTCAGCTCCCTCCATCTTTTGGCAACGTTTCTTATCATTGTTTTATTACTTATTTGTTTTTTTGAATTATTGTTATATATGTGTTGGTGTATATATATATATGTTTAGAGAGAGAGAGACTAGAGAGAGAATACAGAGAGTTCATGCAAAGTTTGTGATCCATATATTAGTGAGAGAATGATGCAAGTAATTAACCTTTTGATCAGTTTGTTATTAACACACTAATTGAATGAATGCTGGAGTTGTAATATATTCAGGGATTGTATGTCTATGTTTCATGAATACATATATAGGGCAAACTATGAGGTAGGGTCAAATTATTACAAAAAATCCCATATTGTTTGGGTAATTATAACTACTCACTTTAATTGTGTATTTTGTTAAGAAAAACTCATCCTTGAGTCGGTAAATTTGATACAATAAGACATGTGTGCACGTGTAAGATAATATATATATATATATATATATATATATATATATATATATATATATATATATATATATATATATATATATATATATATATATATATATATATATATATATATATGTTAGATGTTAGGGTAAATAGCACTTAATCCCCTTGTGGTTGCAAGCTTTTGCGGATGATCCCATGTGCTCGTAATATCAGCACATAAACCCCTTGTGGTTTATGAGGTAGCTTCCGTTAGTTTTTCCGTCAAATTAATCGCGTGTGTCAAATTTCAAGGGGGTCATCTGCAAAAAAATTACTTTGATGTTTGACATTGACGATTAAGTTTACCGAAAAACTAACGAAAGTTATCCCATACACTACGAGTTTATGTACTAATATTATGAGCACATGAGGTCATGTGCAAAAGCTTGTAAACACAGGGGGTTAAGTTCTACTATTTATCCTAGATGTTATAAACATGAGAAAATATATATATTTTATAGCCATGTTTTGAAAATCGACAACCAACTGAATTGCTATTTACGGTTCATAACAAAAAACCCCTCTCTCTCTAGAAAAAGAACATCTTAAAAGCTTTAGAAGGGAATTTGCTTAAAAATCATTCTTATTGGTGTGATATACGAACACAAATGAGCTCATCGGATGAAGATTGGGATACCCGACATAACGAGGTAAAAATTCCTTCTTTTCGATCGAAAAAACTGGGCAAAACGCGTAAAAGCCCAACTTGGGCACCCATTCATGCAGTGCACGCCCAACAGTAGGCTGCTCCACGCCCATTTCGGGCGCCCAGCAGCCAACTGCACGCCCAACTTGGGCGTGCACTACATGAATGGGCGCCCGAGTTGGGCGTCCAGGTTAATTTTTGTTTTGTTTAATCAATTTTTTTACGTTTTGTTCAGGACAATACGTCTACAATTGAAGTTGATCGTACCGATTATTTTTATAATAATTTATTTTAAATTATTATAATTGATTAAAAAAAACCGAACGCCTGGTTTGGGCGTTTTTCGGGCGAACGAACGCCTGGACCGGGCTTTCGTTCGCTCGGAAAACACCCAAACCGGGCATCCGGGCGTTCGATCGCCCGGAAAACGCCCAAACCGGGAGTGTGATCTTCAATTGAATGCCCAAGATGGACGCTCATGGCGTGTAGGAACGCCCAGAACAGGCGTTCGTACACGCCTTGGGCGTTCCACACGTTTTTTCGAAAAGAAAAAAGCCCTGCAAATGGATTTGTAGGGCTTTTTAACATGAAATTGGTTCCGTAATCGACCTACCCAATGCATATTATACATAAAAGAATCGAAATTACCTTAAAAAATCGAAGCTCAACCCTTCTCAAGCTTTATTTCGATTTTTTTTGCTATTTGCAGTTTTGAGGTTTTTGGGTGTTTTTGAGAAGTTTTTGAGTTTTAAAGAGATAAACTGTATGAACTGTAAATAACAATTTTCAAATCGTAAAAAGCATTTCACATATTATAGCATGGTAGGGTGGTTATTTTATGGTGGGTAAGAAAACCTTAATGGGCTTGTAATAGAAAAATTGATGGACTTGACCCATATGTTTAATACTATTTTGGGGTTACTTGAGTGTAGGGCTGGGCATTTGGGATCGGGATTCGGGATCCCGTCCCGTCCCGATCGAAATTTTACTATTTGGGACTAAAACTTCGGGAATTTGGGATTACGGGATTCGGGGTAGAGATTAGGAACAAATACGGGATCGGTATTAAGGAATTGGTTCAATCCCGATCGGGATATTTTAATCCCGAGTTAGGAAAAAAAGAAAAAAAAACTAATAAAAACACACACACACACACACACACACACACATATATATATATATATATATATATATATATATATATATATATATATATATATATATATATATATATATATATAGTGTCAAGGAAATGAGAAATACAATATAAAATATATTGTTTCACCTTATTTTTAAATTTTTAATATTTTATTTATTCCAAGTTTTGTGGTAAAAATTTATAAGACAAGAACAATAGTATGTATATAATATATTCAAGTTGGTTTAGTGTATAAAATAATACTAATGGAAAAAATATGCAATATTTCTTAGTTTTTAGGCAAAATATGGGATTTCCCGATCCCAATCCCGATTCCCGAAATATTTAGGGATACCGATATAACCGGGATTTAATAGTTTGGGACGGGATTGGGATTTAAAATTTCTATCCCGAATCCCGAAATCCCGATCTCGAAAATCCCGAATTCCCGAAATCCCGTCCCGAACTCACCCCTACTTGAGTGACCTAATAATTATTTTTAAGCATGCGGGGGTCGATCGGCCATTGTATGTATATTATTAAACCTACAACTCTAGATGGAGTCACGAGTATTTGGGGTCGGACGAGGGTTGATTTATATGACAATAGAAATCGATCTTATTTTATTGTAATAGTTTACTTGTTAGGACATTATAGTATGTTGCAACTATAATTTTTGTGTAGACAAGGATTATAATTACTAAAATCATAATAAATAACGCAAGAAATTAATGTGTTTGGACACAAAAATGACCTACATTCACGATGATCTGCAAACAAGATTTTGCAAGTTCATATTTACAGTGTATATTAATATGACTTATTTTCTTCTTTAAATCATGTGTTGTTCTTGTACATAATTTGAACATCTTGTATCTTCATTCAATTTCTCTATCCGCAATTTCTTAAATTTTCTTCAAGATTGAACTTCCTTCAGATGTCGGATAAACTCTCCCCAGATTTTTACATTAGACGTGTATATGTCACCACTACAGTAACAAAGGGCACATTATTGCTCCATATAAACCCTAGCGAAGTCACAACTACAATATTTTTGATGGTACATTCAGTTTTATCTAGATTATGTACAGAAAAGCTAATTAGCTTATATTCATAAAAGCTAAAGGAAGGATTTGCTTGTGATACCTAAAGTCATCACACCTGATATTTTTTCAAATATTCTAACATGGTATTAGAGCCAGATTGTTGGTTTTGTTATTACAATCTTATTTTTTGGTGTCTTGTTTTATTCCTCGCACTTCTTGATCCACCGCAATTGGAAAAATCATAAAGTATTACTCTTATTTTTCTCTGCAGTCTTGTTTGTGGTTTTCTCCATCTTTCTCTCGGTTCCATCGAATCGAAAAACACCATAAATCACTATTGTTCATCGGCGAATGTACTTTTTCCTAAACCGGTCTTATTTTTGTGTTTCATTTTCTCTATTGTGCTTAGATCGCTAAGAAAACATCATAAAACACTGTTGTCCTATATTTGCCATCGTGCTCGACGTTTCAATCAACATTTGATCATGATCAAGGTACCGTCAAGGTCGTCGTTAGGCGATCTATTCAATCGATAAAAACCAGACAATCATTAGAGTTGTCAGAAATTTTGCCCGCCTTCAAGCACTATTACTCTCAAACATGACGCGCCTCATTTGAAGAGACATCATTATAATTTAGTTAACAATCTCAAATTGATTTATCATCCACACTAAGTTTGAGTGACTCTTAATATATATTTAAGAGTTTATTATTATTATTATTATTATTATTATATAGTTACGTTTAAATTAGAACTATATCCCTTATTATAAATAGAGTACATCTACGACAGAATAATACACTAATTAAAATTTATTCTAATTTTTAAAATTTCGATTTACGATTTTCCATTTTGTTAACTTTTCACTTACATAAAATAGAATTATTTCTGAAATTACTAATTTTGATAGGATCAATGTAATTTCCACCCTTCATTTACAATTACCGCATCAAATCCGAAACCCCAGAGCTCGAATTTCAGTTTCCAAATTCACACACACCACCACCACCTCTTCACTCTAATTCAATTCAATCGGCACTCAATTTTCTCAGAAATTCCAATGGCTGATGGTTCCAAGGAAGATTTTCTGCGGCTGATCAAGCGCGTCGGAGCTTTTCTCACCGTCAAAATTTCCAATCTATGGCGCCATCTGGTTCGTTTCCTTCTACACTTTCGTCTAACCTTGATGCATTTTTTTTCTTCCAATTTTGGGTGTTTTTTATGCGTTTTGCGAAATTGTTCATCGTTTGGGTTTCTCTTATTTATGAGGGGCGAATTGGGGGTTTTTGTTGGTTGTTTAGAATGGGGTTCAGAGTTTTAGCTGAACATTTGAATTTTGTGATTTGGGCTGTGAATTGGTTATGTTCAGTTGAAATTTTTGATGAGATTTGTGTGAGTTATATGATGTGATTATATGAAAGGTTGTTGCAAAAAGAAAGGAGTGATAATGTAGTATTAGGATGATTTGTTTGATTTAATACTTCATAAAATAACTCAAAGTTATCTCTTATATATGACACCCCCAGATAATATACATAGTAAAAGTCTATTTTTTTTATATATATATATATATATATATATATATATATATATATATATATATATATATATATATATATATATATATATATATATGCTTCTCGATGTTGGAAAAATCGAATCTTGTTAAAGGGGTGCAAGACTTTGAGTAGCATTGCTAGGCACTATAAATAAATCCCGTCTGGTATTCTTCTCCCTTGTTGTTACTTATTACGATATTGTACCGTAATCCTCTTATATTAGTTCCTCCCGTCAATTTCACCATTAGCTTCTTGGCTGTTAATTCTATTGAGTGCCACTTATTTCATTTTATGATATTAAGAGCCGAAAAAGGGTAGAAATCCGTAGCTGTAAGTAAAATTTGAGGTTCATAAAGCTACAACTTTTGGTTGCCTCATGTTGAGATAACCTCGAATTTGCCTTCTTAAAAGTTGTTCTTCCACATGCTAACTTTGTCCAACCCGTTTTTTTTTTAAATGTAATCAGATGTGCAACCGTAAAGAAATGTGGGCGCGTATGAAAGTAGGAGATAGAATAGAAATATAAACATTTATTTTTCCTTTTTGCTCTTTATAATAAACGAATTGTACAAAAATCATGTAATCTAAACTTTTGAGACTGAATTGTATGCTCCAGCCTTTTTCCATAGAGGACTGCCTCAAAATCCTTAGAAATAAACAAATATGAAAAATAATTAGAAGTGGCATTTTGGAGAGGCTTTTGGATAGCACAGTTCGATTCATGTTATAAATTGATTAACAATATCTGAAAACTAATTTTTGGTGCAATAAAGTCTTTTCCTTTCTTTCTTCATTGCAATTTTTTCTACTTGAGAAGTTCGGGTGGAAAATGCTTAGTAAGTAATGTTTTATGAGCTGATTATTTCAATTTAATTGAATGGAGTACAGGATTCACGATCGGTTGGGGCAATAGCAGGGCTAGCATTTGCAGTACTTTTTACATGGAGACTATTACGAACACCAAGAGGGCAACAAAGAAGGCAACCTAAGAGGCCGGGCCCACCAGCCAGTACTTCTAATAGCGGGAATATTGCATCATCAGATGATGTCAGCAACCCGGCTGAAGATTCCAAAACTCAGGATGTGATTGATGAGTTCTTTCAGCCTGTCAAGGTAGATACTCTCGTTTCCTCTCCTAATAGTTATAATTCTATTATTTTATTTGTGTTTGAAACTTCGAAATGACTAAATGTTTTGATGAGAAAACTCTTGTCCAATTGCAGCTGACTCTGAGTGAAATAGTTCGGCAAAGGTTGAGCGAAGGAAGGAAGGTAATATTTCATTTCACTTAGTGGTCTGTCTTTGTTACAATGTGGTAATAAAATTTCACCTTGCATAAAAAAATAAAAAAATAAAAATTTAACAATTTTTGCAGGTAACGTGTCGGTTGCTTGGTGTAATATTAGAGGAAAGCAGTCCAGAAGAGCTTCAGGTTTTTTTACCTCCTGTTCGAATCCTTAGAATTATGATAAAATCATTAGAAATCACTCAATCCATGTCTTTAGTTATTAATTTTTATTTATTTATTTGTTTGCCAGAAGCAAGTAACTGTTAGATCATCAGTTCTAGAGGTGCTGCTTGAGATCACAAAGTTTTGTGATGTTTATCTCATGGAACAAGTGCTTGACGACGAAAGTGAAGTAAGCACCGACTATTTCGTATCTTAGTTTTCTTCACTTGTGTTCGTGTTTAAGTGGTATTTTACTTTTGTATCTTAGATTTGAATCTATTTCATATTTGTTCAGTACGAGTAAAATATTAGATTATTAGCATGTTTCACTATCTACAGATCCTACATTAGTATCTGTGTGTGTGTGTGTGTGTGTGTCTATATATATATATATATATATATATACATATATATATATATATATATATATATATATATATATATATATATATATATATATATATATATATATATATATATATATATATAATTCAATATCACTAATATTTTACTGGATAAAATGGTGCAGAAAAAAGTTATCCTAGCTTTGGAAGAAGCTGGCATTTTTACATCAGGTGGCTTAGTCAAAGATAAGGTATGACTTTGACCCGAAGAAATAAGTCGTTGCTACATTACATATTAATTTTAATTATCTTTCACATGGTTCTTTTTTTTTTTTTTAACTTTTTTTATTACCTTTTTCAACAAATTCACATTTGTATGTCATTATTCTAATACATGATTCTTCAGGTTCTATTCTGTAGCACAGAGAACGGAAGGTCGTCTTTTGTGAGACAACTGGAACCAGATTGGCATATAGATTCGAATCCTGAAATTGTTCACCAGTTATCGGTATGCACCTATTTCTCTTTTAATCATTCCCTTTATCTTGTTCCGTTTATAGATTTATTTTTTAATTTCTGACTTAACGAAAACATGGAGAGGAATCAATCAAGTACATAGTGTAGGATCTATTCGCCAAACCTGTACAAGCGCATGTAGGGGTGGAGATTGGAACAGGATTTTCGAATTCCGCCTATTTCAATCCGAATATTTTCGATTTTGGAACAATATTTTCATTCCAAATTCCTATTTCTGAATTTTCTGATTTCTTTTCTGGAATAAATGGAGTACATATTAGATTCCAATTTCCGATCCAATTTTAATTTCCAAAAATATTTTTGAAAAGTACACTTATAATATGAATATTATTATGTATCTCATATTATAGGTGGCTGAAAATTTGGAAATTCCGCCAATTCTGGTCCGAAAATATCTGAATTTTCGATTTTTCCGATATTGTTTTAGCGGAAATTGAATCAGTTATACACTTCTGAGTAAATGAGTTTATTTTCTTCTGAAAGTGCTAATTTCGATCAGATCAGTCGGATTATCCACACCTAAGCGCAGGAGACAATGCTTGTAATTGACTGCTGTTAGTAGTGTAGAATCTACATTTTTCATCAGAGTTTAGAATTTACTTCGAAACTTTCTTCCTCTCTTATTCGAAAAAAATGTTCCCAATTTAACTTGGTGTTTAATTTCGTATTTACTTGGCATACACATTTTCAGGGATTTCAGTTCATAGGAAATTTAAACACTCGAAGCAAATTGAATTTATTGTCACACTAATTAATTAATTAATTAATTAATTAATTATCCATGTCAATCATTTTATTGCCACATTCACAAACTTTAATTTGAATTTTTTTTCTTGTTTTTTCTCCGTGATTGCAGAGATTCATAAGGTACCAACTTCACATCTCTCCTGTGAAGAATGAACGAACCGCCTCCAATGTTTTCACAGCCACATCATTGGAACAATTCTTCGGTTGCGTGTAATTAATTGTGCACTAGTAAGAAAATTAGTAAATTGCACATTTTTTTTCTGTGTTTTTTTGAGTAGTTTTGGTCGCTTGAGCTGCTAGTTATCAGATTCCGGAATATTCCGTCTTCCGAGCATATGAAGTTCTGCTGGTGCAAGAGTATAGAAACTTCAGCTGAATTAACAGCTTTGGTCCTTTGAAACCAAGAACTATTAGTTCACTAGAACTCTGTCTTAGGATTTCTTCCTAGTGTAATAGTATTGTACTTTTAAATAATTGTGCTGTAATAATAATTTCCAAAGAACTTTTTCTTGTTTTGTGAAAGTGCTTTTGCCTTCAATGTTTGTTAATTAATCTAGAAGATTTCATTAAATTTAACACCATAAGAATGGACGTGTAAGAAGATTCATAGTTGAGGGTCTGATTGTAATTACCCAAACATGATTTTTTTTTTGTTACAAAATGCAGTTTTTGATGTACAACAATCTGATATTTACAAGGCAAGAGACACATTTTATGATTTTTTTTTCTTCAAAATATGGAGTTTGAATGTGGTAAAACGGGTACAAATTAAATAATATTCCACATAATCTGGAAGATTTTACTAAATTTGACACCACAAGGATAGACGAGTAAGAAGACGCAATGGTGGATGTTTAAGAAGATTCATATTTGAGGGAATTATAGTAATTACTCAAACATTAGAGGTTTTTTCGTAATTTGCCCTTACCTTAAAGAGTGGCCGTAATTTACCTTCAATTTTATCAACACTAGAAAAAAAAATGAAAATGAATGGTTATATTACAATTGACCACTTATGAAATGATATTATACAATTGTCCTCTAAGGGCAAAATCGGCATTTTTAAAGAAATATTTCATTGAGTAAAAAGAATTATGTGAAAATAAACTTTGCATAATATTATTGCAATTACCATCTAAGGCTAAAATCGGCATTTTCAAGAAATAGTCCATTGAATAAAAAAAAATATGCCAAAATTAACTGTATAACCAAATTTTAGGAATACCAATTTTTTTGGTAATTTTAATAAGGGGGCTTTTTGGTAATTTACTCATCCTTTTTTTATCTTTACAATAAATCACTTGCAAGAAAAATATTCAAAAGCTTTGGCAGCGGCAGGGCTAACTACTAAAATGGCGGAGGCCGCCATCTGCCCAATTGACGCCCAATTTTCCGGCGAAATCTCCACTCTTCTCAGCTCTCCGCCGCTTCCTCAAGTTCAGGCACGAAATTATTTATATTTGAATTATATAATTAATTAATTAATTAATTTATGTTTTTTTTTTTAAATATTTAGAATGTATAAAATTTTTTTTCACAGGAATACTTCGAAGCGCTAGTATCTGAAAGGCAATGTTCTGGAATTAAAGTTATACCAGATAGCGAGCATGGAAAAGGTATATTCTTTTTTCTTATTTTTATATTTCATTTTTTTCCCCTTTAAAAAGAAATAAATTTGTGGAGTTTTAGTAATAGCAGCCTTTGTGTTTGATTATTTGCTATTAAGTCCTCAATTAATCTTCCAAGTAATTGATTTCCATAATGGTGGAAATGGTGATTAAAAGAAATTGATTTAAAGTATTAAACCAACTGCAGGGGTTCACAGTCAGTTTGATTTTGAAGAAAACGACCTTGTTTTGAAGGATCGAATGCTTGTCGGTGCCCAGCATTCGTCTAATAAGGTGTCGAGGAAATTCAATTTATTTCTTTTTTCGTCCTCTTTATGTTAAATAGTTTCTCGATAGGTTTATTAACTTTTTTTTTTTTTTTCGTTTTTGTATGTCGAAGATTGATTGTTTGGTTTGTAGTTTCTGCTTCCAATTCATCGGCTCAATAGAGCTTCAAATCGGGAGGAAACTGTATTTGGAAGAACTCGGTGTCTCTCCATTTAACGAATGTGGCCCGTCCGATCAAATGGAATGTAGTAGTTCTTCCGAAAAAATTAATTTATCGCAAGATATTATCCAATCTTTAATGAATGGCAGTTTGCAGTTGCCCTATTCGGAGAAATTCCGTCTGCCTTCGGCTGTTCCTTGCCCGGGTGGATGCAAAGAAGCTTATTATTGCAGGTAGATTCATACTTTTCAGTATTTTTTCGTATAAAAATTGAAAAACGTATTTTTTTTTCGTATAATCCATTTATGGGTTTTTTCGTTTTCTTTTTATTATTTATTTATAATTATGACATAGTTAAGACTATTTTTTTTGTAGCAAATCGTGTGCGGAAGCTGACTGGGATTCGTTCCATTCATTACTTTGTATTGGGCGTGGATCGAGTGCACTGAATACAGAAGCGCTTTTGAAATTCGTAAAGCATGCTAATGGTAAAAGCTTTATCTATTTCAGTCGATCAATACTTATCTTGTTCTTCAGTATGCCTTTCTTGCTATAGATTATTCCACTAATTGATTAACGTGCGTTCACTATCTCCTTTTTTTTTTCCCAGAAACAAATGATATTTTCATCGTCGCTGCTAAGGTAAGTTGCTCGATGAACTGGTTACTAAATCATTCTCACATATCTCGTCGAATTTAACTAGCCGGTAATTACTTTGCATGTAAGAGGATCTTCTCGATTTATGTGAGATAATTCATTTTTTTTCAATATCTTTTGTTTCTGTTATAGGTAATTTCATTTACGGTTTTGAGATACAGAAAGTTGAAACAACAAGGGAAACTTGATACTTCTAAATCGAGCAGCAGTTGTATCTTCCCTTTGCTATTGGAGGCATGGAAGCCAGTGTCAATGGGGTTCAAGAAACGGTAATTCAGAAGTCAATATATCTCTCAAAGACACCTCGTATTTTCATCGTCTCATGTCTCCTAGATGATTTACGAGCATATTTTTAATGTAACATATAATAATCATACGATCCCTAAATTCTTATAACACATGGGAACTTGGGAAATATTTTGGATTTATTTTACAAGTATCGTAATCTTATGTGTGGCCTCGGTCGAAGAAATATTTAAAAGTAGCTCGTGTTTTGTGAAAACCAAGTTCTGTGGGTGTTTGTGTGTAGGTGGTGGGACTGCATTGCTCTGCCAGAAGATGTCGACTCTTGTGATGAATCTGAATTCAGAATGCAAATAAAAGACTTGGCATTTGAGGTAATCTTCCTCTATACAAAGATGTAAAACAATAAATAATCGGAAGTTAAAAAAATGGTTGATGAATTAAGGTTTTTTTTTTTTTTTTTGATTAATTAGCTAATAGGGTAAATTACGGCCACCCGATGAGGTAAGGTCAAATTACGAAAAAAACCCTCATGTTTGGGTAAATACAACCACCCCTCAACGATGAATCTCCTTACACGTCCACCCTTATGGTGTGAAATTTTAATGGAATCTTCTAGATTATATGTGGAATATTCTCCAGTTCCTACCCGTTTTTACCATGTTCGAGCTCCACATTTTGAAACAAAAATGATCATAAAACGCGTCTCTTGGCTTGTAAATATCATATTGTGGTGCATCAGAAATTGCATTTTTGCGCTACAAACTAGAGAACATTTCACAGAATCTAGAAGATTATGTTGAATTTGACATCGTAAGGGTGGACGTGTAAGAAGATTCATAGTTGAGGTGGGTGGTTGTAATTACCCAACGTTAGGTTTTTTTTTTTCGTAATTTGATCTTACCTCAAGGGATGGCTTACCTCAAGGGATGGCTGTAATTTACCCTTAGCTAATATTAGATCCACGAACTTTCATGGCGGGGTAAATTACAAACACCCCCTGAGGTATGGTCAAATTACAAAAACACCCCTCTTGTTTGGATAATTATAACCACCCCTCAACTCCTCAAATTTAGTGGAATCTTCGACATTATATGGAATATCATCACTTTTGTACCCGTTTTATCCCATTCAAACTCTACATTATGAAGCAAGATGATCATAATATGTGATTTTTAGCTTGTATATATCAGTTTGTGGTGCATCGGAAACTGTATTTTTACACAAAACGAGTACAAACTAGAGCACATTCCACGGAATCTAGATGATTATGTTGAATTTGGCACCATAAGGGTGGAGGTGTAAGAAAAAAATCATAGTTGAGGGGTAGATGTAATTATCCAAACAAGAGGGGGTTTTTGTAATTTGACCATACCTCAGGGGGTGTTTGTAATTTACCCTTCATGGCGTAATGTAGATCTGCACTTATTTTAATTGGGTTTATTTTACTATGCCATTAGTCAATAGTACCTTCGATAAAAATAAAAATTCGAAGTGCTTTGTAGTTCTCATTTCGTACTTAATGGAATCTAATGAGACGTTTCGAATTTTGTAGTCATTACAGCTCCTGAAAGAAGCCATCTATGACTCGGAATGTGCACCATGTATCCTAACTAGTGAAAAAAAATCATATATCTATATATATATATATATATATATATATTAATTTATTTATTTTTGTATCTGAAGTCCTTAACCTTTTGAAGTATTTTCTCTCGACATATATGGTCATATTATTGGCATGTTTGAGCTGAATAACCTGTAAGTTTGTCGTACTTCTTGTTACAGTTTCCGTAAGTATATTCGACTTTCAAAGCAAAACATCGTTTGTGCTAACCTATGCCTTTCTGTATATATAATAGCGATTTGGTCGTAGCATCGCCAGTGGAGGATTACTTTTTATATATTGACGATCTTCCGCCCTCCCAAAAGGTTAGTAAACATTGCATCTTTTTTTATGTTAATTACCGCAGTAAAAAGTAATTAATTATTAATTTGCAGAAAGAAGCTGAAAAGATAACAAAATCTTTCCTCGATGCTCTTGGGGATGACTACTCGATTTCTTGCGAAGGTATAATACACGAGACCATGTGTAGTTCAGTTGACATATCGTATTGATGTAGTATTTTTTAGTGCCTGTTTATACCGGCAGCACCACTTACGTTTACGAATCTATCGTCAGGTACTGCGTTTTTTCCTCTGCAGAGTTGTATGAATCACTCGTGTATTCCTAATGCAAAAGCATTTAAGCGAGAAGAGGTACGTACCGCAACTTCATCTTACGTAGTATATATCACAGAATGATTTCATTTGACGAGTTCTTGGTTTTATTATTACACAATCTTCAAAACCGTAAAATTATGGATTTGAAGCACAGGCATCTTCGTTAAAATATCGTAAAATTAAATTAAAACCAATCGAAACTAATTCTCACGAGTACCATCTGTACCATTAAATGCTTCAGATGCTTAAGAAGCACTTTTATTTATTTATTTATTTATTTCAGGACAGAGATGGTCAAGCTATTATAGTTGCTCTACGACCCATTTTGAAGGGAGAAGAGGTAAAATATTCGCTTCAAGATATTGTTCTCATTTTTTTTTTTCTAAAGCGGGCTTATGGAATTAAGAGTAACTGTTTTTTCGTGCCGTATCCTATAAACATAAGGCGTTTCACCTATTTTCAAGATTTAAATGTTATGACATATCTGAGTTTCACAAAAAAGTATTACTTTCAGATAACTATATCGTACATAGATGAGGATCTTACGTACGAGGAGAGGCAGGAATTACTGGCCGACTATGGCTTTACATGCAAATGCCCCAAATGTATAGAAGAAAGGCCGTAACTTGCAAGGCAAGTTATATATACATCATGGGACAGTTCTTTTAACTTTCTTACCCGTTAGCGAAACCGGACCTTACCACCATGAGATTTTTTGTGTACGATAAAATTATTTCGAAATGGGTTTTTTCGGCTGAGCTGAGTTAACTATAGCATCCACACAGGTTGAAGTTTTTTTAAGAGTTTTGGTTGAACTGTTCCTGCCGATCTCACTGTCCATACGATATACTATTAGCACCAATATTTATCTTAGAAGCTCATTTTGGTGTTTTAAGTTCGAGTTTGAACCGTTTATTTCAATATTAGTTTTTCATTTATATTTTCGTAAAAAATATATTGATGAGTAAACATATATCATTTGGTGTTTTTAAGTTTAAAATTACAAGGCCCCCCTTAAGATAAGGTCTGATTACGTGAAAACCCTCATTGTTTTTATAATTACGAGCACTCCCTGAGTTATTTTTCGTCTAACGAATTTACCCTCACAGAGTTAACAATTACATAATCAAATAGATTCCATGAAATATTCATTTTGTAATGACCAAAATACCCTTAGGGGTCTAATTGTAAAGTTTGTAAAATAATTTTATTTTTTTGTAAACTTTTTTTTTTACCGTTAACTAGCCATTTTTGTGACAAAAGGGGTTATGTTTAAGGTTTTACATTGCATGAGGGGCTAAATGCAAGAACATCAGAAAATTGAATTTTTCTAACCTTTTTTCTCTTTCATTTAATAATTTTAACACATGGATATTTTAGACAATTATTACATTTTGTTAGGATTTTTTGCAACTTGTTAGTTTCATAAGGTGCTCGTAATGCAAACAAGGAGGATTTTTTTCATAATTAGACTTTACCTCAGGAGTCCTTGTAATTTGCCCTTAAAATTTAGGAAGATTTTTTGTAATATATTTCAAACACAAAAGGTTTATATGTAATTCAATCAATTCCCAAAAGAGATATCTATTAAAAATAAAATTAAAAATTAAACCAAGAGGATAAAATTGTAATCCACCTAATACAATATACATAAAGAACCCTTCATCTATTTAGGCAATCCACCCTCAAACTGTTGTTATTACAAAACTTTGATCTGTGTAAAAAACTTGTAGAAGAACAAATATTGAATATCACACAATATCAACTTCCACAGTCTCTTCATTCTCGTCATCGTCATCACCTTTGTACTGCAATGCAACCAATTCAAAACGCCCCATGTCAGGTTACTTGTCGTAGCTGAGGTAAACATTGAAAAAACGAAACGAGGTATCCACTTTCAGGTTGACAAAAAATCATGAAGAACTTCATCTTTTCGTTTATAGTAGTTACATCTAATGGAAAATATTGACATTAAAGTTTGGTTAAGAAATTGAAAATTCCCCAAAAGAACACCATAACTATGGATATATACGCATATACATGTGTACATATATAGATACAAAAAAAGAAGTTTTGATTTAAGAAACCTGGGAATATACGTTATGAGGGATGGGAGGCGGTGGGGGTGGCGGAAATGGTAAGCGGGGGGTGGTTCTCAGTGCAACTTCCGTCTCGGCTCCGACTACCTGAAACTTGTTATTATCTGTTTCGACGACTTCAACATCTTCATCGATTGCATTAGCAGCTATACCAGTTGGTGGTTTTGGAAGGCCTGCCTCAGATACCTTGTACTACAGATTATTTCAATGAAAAAAAAAACACATTAATGTCAAGTTTCGCAAGGTTATACGCCAAATTATTGCTCGTCTTGTGCACATAATCATACGAGTAGCTGAATAAATTGACTCAAAACATATATAGTACACGAATTACTTTCCTCTCTTCCGATTTATTTTCAAGATATAAGAAAGGGATATGAAATCTAGCAACTGATAATGTATTTCCGACATTCCAACATTCATCGGACACAGATTAATGGATATAGAAAATTTAAAAAAGAAAAACTCCACTATCCTTTTCTTTTTTTAATATTGTCAGAAAACGTTGCACCAATGCAGAATGCGAAAGACGATAGCAGTTTTATCGAGACGAAAAAGGGTGGGCACCTTATCAGCAGTGGCAGTGGCGGCATCACCATCTGCCTCAGGTTTCTTGCTATTACTAAACTTATCATGATTTCCAGAGTGCCGAGAGAGCTTATCGACTCTACTTCTCCCAACTGAATTCAATGAACAGAGTAAATTTTTGTCAGCTGAATTAAAAATTCACTTATTTACCAGTCAGTAAGAGAAGATATATGATGGATATCAAGACGGTTGGTTATATACTTCTGTACTACCTTGATTTGATGAATCATGAGCTCCCATGAATACTCGTGACCGTTTCTTAGGTGGGGCAGCATTCAATTGACCCTCGTTCAATGGGCTAGCATAACCACCAGCCACGTCATCACTCATCGTGTTAATTTCTTCATTGCCTGGCCCGACAGCATCTGAAGCCAGCTGCTCGCCCAACTTCTGAAAATGAGCATGTGATCTATAAAACAAAATACATGATTAGTGATCGTAGAACCTCAATTCATAAACCAGAAAACTAACGCAAAAGAGAACAAAAAAAAAAACTGTTATCAAACCAAAAGCATACCTCTTCAGTTCATCTTGTAACCGCAAGTGACGACTGTGTGCTTTAACAAACTTCTTAATTTTTGTAGTAAGCCTAAAAGATAAACAAGATCGTAATGAACCTAAACTGGAGTAGAGAAAGGAAAAGAAATGCCAAACTCCTAACTAGTCACGTTGTAAGCATCAGATTATAAAAGAATTTATTTAGTGAAACTAATATTTATGGAATCATTTGTGTATTTGGAAATAAGAATTGTGCAAATAATGAACATGTAAAAATATATGGTTATTGGGGCAGGTTCAGCCACTGGTACTAACAAAAAGAAGTTTTTTTGCATTTAAAACCACTTGACACAATTATGTTTGTGTTACCTTTGAAATAGCATTTACCATCCAAGTTTGACTTCGAATTTATCAAACACCACTAGATATCCCATACGTTTTGTATAACCAAAATTTAAGAATCAAAGATCTATTTAGTACTACCTTTTGCCCTCCTCTTTCTCTTTTGAAAGTTGCATCTCGAGCTCGTGAATTTTCATAGTGAAATTATCTGCTTGCTTAACCTTATCCTCCAGGTACATCTGTTTTACAAGCACAGAGGTTAAAGGTTCGAGATATACAGCAAAGTGTATGTAGTTATAATAACATCTTAGAGAAGAAATTTTCTTCATTTCCAATTTAAGGTGAGACGACCAAAAGGACCAGGAAAAAAAAGTACAGAATATTCCTAAAGTGAAATCAGCAAGAACTGAAGCCACCATATACACACCACTTTTCAATCACTTCCACAAGGTCTCGTTTGGAGAGAGATCTACGTTAATTAGCATATACAGTATTACGTAAGAACCAGGAAACGAGGAAACATAGACGGCACACTCCCTCGAGGAAAATTGGCATCATGGCATTTCATTTTTCCACAATTACGAAGATATAAGAGTACAATTGATAACCTCGAGCTACTATCAATCGCAAACAAATGAGACTAACCTCCATCCGCCGCCTATCACTCTCCAGCATCTTAATTTCAGAGTGAAGTTCTCTCAGCTGTACATAATCCAACAAAAGAAAGTCGAGATGACAATGACGGAACAGTCACAAGAGAGCAAAAAGCCCTAAATGATGGCCGATATTTTTCAGCTACTTCCGCAAAACGAAAAGCCAGTATCCATCAAACCTGCTCATCAGCACGGACTTTGGTATCAGATGATATATGTCTTCTATCTTTGATTTTATCTTCAGTCCCATCTGACATTCTACCAGAATAGTCATTATTATGCCCATCCAACTGCCTTCTCTTTCTGTGATTTCTTTCACTGAAAAATGAAATGGATTTGAGATGTAAGAGAAAGATCAGTGAAGCCAAAGTTTAGGAAATCATATCCAATGAAAACAAAACATGTTTTCAAATTAACACACCAAATTCAGATAGATCTAGGATAAATGAAAATGTGCAGCACTAGGTATCAAAAAATTAATCACGTATTATCAATCAAAACAACAAAGAAGTAGCCCGCTTACACTTACTACCATATTTACAACTCATCCAGGTGCTAGCGTAAGCACACAACCTCTGAGAGCACTTTTTGTCTTTGAATTTTGTAGGACTAACCCTCCAAGATATGTAACATTCTTATCAAATCTTGAAACTATGGTAAATGCACAGTTAGAAACCTCTTACGAAACCCCAAAATGTTCAATCGCTTTGGCATACTACAACACCTTATTTGGAGCTTAAATAAATCAAGATCAAAACTCCTCCCACTTAATAAAGTTAAGATAATAAAAACTCATTGAGCATAGATAGTATAGTTTAGTTCTAACATTTTGACCAATCATAAGATTTCTACATCAACATATGAACTCACATGCACGGTCAAAGAGAAGGGGTTTAAGATTTCAACGCCTTCCACCCCATCTTTAGGACGACCACGCAATTCGTTGTCAGACATAATTTTATCAAATTACGCCGCCTATCTGATGAAATAATATCTTTACACTTGTGCATTTTCTACAAAGTATAGCAACTTGGACTTCTAAATTTCCTTCTCATTTAAGAAGTACCACGAGTCCTATCTAATAGATTATTGTCATCTTAAATAATCTAAATCAAACTTTTTAGCTCCAATTTCAACCAAATAGTGCATGTAGAGAAAGTAATATTTTCAGCTTCGTTAAGCAGGAAGAAGAGATGATTAACTGAAACAGGTGGTATGAAGAAGTGTATTGAAGAGCAAAGAATGTAAACCAATTAAAGTTCGGTACATGTATGCATGAATAAGTTCCATCGTAAAATTGCTAATTATAAAGCTAGTACACTGGAAATTTTTTAATATAAGCTGGAAAATATTGAATATAAATTTTAGCAACTAATCTGCTCCATAAGATGGGTAACTCGGTATATTATTCTATAATAATAGAACTGAAAAGGAAGCATAAAATATGCAGCACAAAATGAAAAGAAAACGAGAGTACAACAGAAAAAAGGTGGTCGCCAAATTTCAAACATCACGTGAGCCATCCGCACAGAACAAGAAAAATAGTAGTCTGATAACATCACACAATCAGGATAGGATAAAATCAAAGACACTTGAAATGAACTTACATCCTCTTCCCAACAGAGCGAGGACTGTCTCCTGCAGATTGAAGTAAAAAAACAAATCAAAGGGCAAAAATGTAAAGATGATGATCTACATTTGAGACAACATTGGATCCAGATGTAAAATTTTATGTATCTTACCACGAGAAGAGTGCCTTGCTTTGGCATCTCCTCGACCTGGTGAGTTGTCCAATGGAGAACGCATTCGGTCAAGCCTTTCTCTCAAGTCTCTACCCTCCCGATACTCCTCTCTTCCTGCAATTTGGAAAAACAAAAAAATGATTACACCACCACAAAATGCACAAAATCATAATCTCAAAACAGAGACAATCAAGAGCATCCATAAGCCAATAACCAACATGAATTTAAGCTTACCGTTACAAGGAACAAGTGAGTAACATAATTATGAACAGTTTTAATGTCTTCTCGCAGATTCCATATGAGCCATAGAACTAATGGCTCTTCGTATAAAGATAGATAAAGATATATCATGAGCTTTTATAGAAAGAAAATCCTTCGAGAATCATGGAAGCAACTCAAAAAGATAGACATCCTCCGCCCTTGTGTGATAAGAATACAAAGCCATGGTGCACATTTCTTCTCGTGTCTGTATGAAATAAAAAACTAAATCCTTCCATATGCAATATATTGGCATCGATGTTCTACAGTTCCCAGCCAAGAAAGCAAGAGACCCCTTCCCAGTATCTTTCACGGAGAAATATCACATGAAGAAAATACCACGTTCTCGAAGAATATACAAAGTTACAAACTGCAGATAAAGTGGGATGGTGCATTTGGATGGCCCTTTGCAGTGTGATTCATACAGAATCAGATAAAGAAAATAACACGCAGAAATACCACGGAAACTATTTCTGATCCCCTTATTATACATCTGTTTCAAGATAGATTAGGATAAATCAAGAAGCCGAGTAAACAGCACCAAAATCAGCATAAAGATGAACCAACCAGCATAATCCACTCTGATAAGATATACTAAGTCAGTGAACTGGTAATGATTAATAACCAACAGTAGCTTTCTGCGAAGTTCCTTCATTTCCATTGAGAGGTGAAAATATCCAACCAGAGAATTCGGTTTAAGCACGCAGGGTCCTAAAGCACAAATTATATTTGCAATCTATATTTGGCAGAAAAATAAAATTACAATGATAATTAGTTAGTAACATCAAAACATTTTGATCAATCAGTCAATTAACATAAATAAAGTGAAAATAGCGTATGTGCTACACATTAAGTTGGTTAGTAGTAACTGTAATCAGCAGCGGGGAATTATGAAAATTTTCCAAATGTATCAGAATCAAGTTATGCCACCAATAATTAATTGTCCATCAAATTTGATTTTTCTTTTGCAGAAGGGACAAACGTCTATGGATCATGAAAATCGATGAACTATACAAACCACAAGTAGAAAAAAACATAGAAACTTCGTTTATTTGATTGCTAAACTAGATAATCGTTACAGCCCCAAATTTCTGCTGCCTTCAGAATTGCCTTGTCTACACAATCATACAGGTTTTATGCTTCTTAAGTGTTTTGTGATACCTATTATACCCCTATCACTAAGTTAAAATTTGATAATGGTTAATTAGGTAAAATGTTACAATGATGAATATTCTCCATTCTATATTTAATTATTTATCACCAGACCACAGTATAATGGATTTTTTTTTCTTTCTTTTTCTGTATTATGGATAGTCAATAACTGGTGAAGTAATGACTCCCGAGTAGATTGGTCTGGTGAAGTTCCTTTCTGGTTTCAGGCACTTGTGTCGACATTCATCACCGAAACAAGTATGTATGGATATGACATGTACACGCTATGCGTCAAGCAATCTAGATGAAACTTGAAACAGGGGATGTTCACTTATCTGGCAAATCTACATACGATATGATATTTTACAACTCAACTTGTTCTTAAGCAAGACTCGGACGTCCTGCTCACAAACACAGACATTCCTCTACGAGTATCAAGTGGCAGACAAGACACCGACGTCATTTTCGACATCTAACACTAACAGTACAATTAGATCAAGTGTAAACTTAACATTACTGAATTAAGACTATCGGAGCAGAAAACTAGTTCCTCTTTCATTCTCCAACTTCAAAGTGTACACATGAAAGGCCATAGTTAGGGCAGAAACGCTCAATTAAATTTGAATATGTTTTAACGAGAAAGTCCACTAGAAGCAGAATTTGCAGTTTCTGCCAACTATTTCAAGGCAATATTTTCCATCATAAGTACACTTAAACCACAAGAATGCCTCTAGCAGTACAAAATGATACCCAAAAAAATCAAAAAGATGATCCAATAATCGAAATTCATGTAATTCCCTTTTGCATCCATTATTCAACTATGACGGATACAAAACAACTCGGTCATGGTAGACAGCTGTGAAACACAGATGCATGTAGAAATACTGAGTAACAAGATTTTCTAATTATAATGACAATAATATGAATAAAGTTGAAAATTCATTGAATATACATAATACATGATAATTCTACACAAAATGCATGGAATGTAACGAGAAAACTCATAAAAAAATACTAATACCAGAAAATCAAGCTACGGAATCGGGAATTGGAATCGAAAAAAAATTATTCAACATGTAACCGAAGCAATTATGATTCAGATTCTAAGCACTCCGCTTACTTGATGGTGAAGATTAAAAAAAATTAAAAAAAAAATTACCATTAAAGGAGCGGCGAAGCTCGGCGGTGCCATGGGCGAAATTACAGAACTGGCGAGGGCAACGGCCTCTTTCGTACAGCATGCACAACTTCGTCTTGTAAAGTTCTCTCTCTACCATTTCTCTCTCTTCTTTTTTGGTTGTTTAATTAATTGCAGAAACCCTGATTTGGTAATCCGGGGTGGAGAGAAATATAACGGCGGTGAAGCGCTGTACTAAATTAATACTCCGTGAAATTAATTGGATATAATTGGCATGAAAAAATGTCACTTTTTTTTTTAAGACAATTAGCTAAAAGCCCCTCGATTATTATTTTCGTTACAAATAAGACCCGTTATTTTAGGGCAAATTACGAGAAATTCCCTGAGGTAAGACTTAATTATGAAAATATCTCTCAAGTATTATTTTCGTTACAAATAAGACCCGTTATTTTAGGGCAAATTACGAGAAATGACTTAATTATGAAAATATCCCTCAAGTAAACTTCATGAGATCCGTTGGCGTCTTACACAAATCTTGAAGGAATAATTTTGATTCCATGGAATATTCCGTAAATATTTACGGACCGAATTAACCTTATGGTCATTGGAACATATTATTTAGGGTGTAAATTGTGTATATTTAAGAAAATCAATATTTACAAAATTTTATAAGTGCAATGTATTCTTCATTTTATAATTATTAAAAAATATATAAAAGAAAAAAATAATTAAAGCTAATATTGTAACAATTAAGTTTATATTTGTTTTGTAAATTTTTTCGTTTACATTTTTATAGTTTTTTAAAAAATAAAATAGATTTTGCAAACAATATATATTAAATGTAAATAAATCATTGTAAAAAAACAAAGATGTTTGATCCTCTTTCCGTTCACAATCCATAATCATAGCCGTTATTGTTACTGCTTTAGGGGTTGTGATGGTAAATGTTCATAAGAGGTTTCATTGTAATGTATCAACATATATCTTCTTAAGTTGATATTACTTAAGGCTAAAATAGAGAAAACACAAGTTTTGTTAGGGTACTTGGTCAAACTCAAAATAGAGGGGTGCCTTTGGCTTGGTATCACCTTCCCTAAGGGTAAAATCCACCTTTTCCATGTAGTCGACGAGAGTCACATTAGAAAAAAAATTCAAGTACCGAAGGACAAATCAACACAACCGAAAGTAGAAGGTACAGCGATATCGAGCCAAAGTAAATAACAGAAAGGGATTTTATCCTTTAGCTATGTTTAGTTTTAACTGTATCTAAAAAAATATTACTGTGTTAATTAACTATGATAACCTCAATTTTATAAATTTGAATTCAATTGAATTTTAATAAGAATATTGTATAAAAATATAACTAGGGAAATTTTCTGCTTTACATAACACAAAATTACATTACATTTAAAAAAATTGTCTCTCTATTTTTAACGTCGCAGAACGCAACCATCTCTTCAAAATAAACGATCATGCTGCTTTGCTGTTCGTCGACACCTGCGAAACAACACATAAAACCCGCAACAAACAACATTGCTAAATACAATTAATCAAAATATGCAAATTATTTTACTTACAAAATTTACGAGGTTTTTCCGGGGTGTAATGTCATGTAGATGAATACAAAAACCAGGATAAGCCACAACTCTAACTATGGCGCCCAAGCCATTATACCATAGAGGAACTGAATTTTCCCCCAGAATTGGTAATGGGCGCTATACAAACATTTTAATTATTTTATTTTATAATAAAACAAATTAAATTAAAATAAACACTTACTCGAGAATTAGCAAAATAAATACTGTAAAAATATCATTTTTTTAACAGAAAAAACAATCTAAATTTTCTGCGCTCAGACAGCCAAGGGTTTGTCTTCAAATACAAGATCAGAAACTCTAGTCCACACTATTTGCTTCATCACCGCGCAGAATGTTCCAATCTATATATTTATTTTTAATATTTGAAGAAAAAATAATTAAAACAAAAACAAAAAAATATAATTAAAACAAAGAAGTGTAGCAGTAGACAGGTAGCACGGTGACACAAGAAAAACACCGCACTGTTTAAAACTGACTAATTTCTCTATGCTTCGGGAAACTTGAAATCTCTCACTAATTCAAACAGAGACTTCACCATTATGAAGCAACCAATATTAAAAAAAATCATTGTAATTTATTTATAGAAGCCAGGGCAAAATGGGCAAACTCTAAGCAATATAGAACTCGCCACGTCATTGAAAAAATAATAAAATATTAATTCATCAGGCTACATTTCTTTCTATGCTTTCATTGACACGTCAATTGGGAGGCCAAAAAACGCAACGCCTATAGAAAGCAACAATTAGAATTTACAATATTTAAAAAAATAAAATATTTTTATTAAATTCAAAGTTTTACTAGATTAATAAAAATTTATGAGGTGTTTCCGGGGTGTAATGACATGTAATTAAATACATTAACCAGGATTAGCCACAATTAATTATTGCGCCCAAGCCATTATATCATAGAGGAACAGAAAATCCTCCAGAATTGGTAAAAGGGCGCTGACTTAATTATTATTTAATTTTATTTAAATAAATAAATGAACTAAATAAAATATAATAAACATTATTTTAATATTGGGAAAATTGTGCTCAGATGAAGGAGAAGTCGTTTTTTATATAGGCTCACGGATCTGAATCCACTGCCATTAACACTCTCATTGTGTTTAATCTCGTCATTGCAATTAGATAAATAATTAAATTAGAAAATATAATAATTAATTGGCTTCAGTGTGTGTAACAATCAAATCCTTGATTGAAATTTTAATTTTCAATCTCAATGAAATCCGCTAAGATAAAGAATTTATCATCATCAGCCAATTAAAAATTCAATCTTTTCGACTTTTGTAAATATTAGAAAAAAATTGAAAATAATATTTTGAAATACAAATTAACTGATAAAAATTTAGGGTTTTTTGACCTAAAAAAGCAATCGGAAAAATTGGATCTTTTTTGTATTTAGTTAAAAATAAGAAAAAATAAAAAATTGCAATAGATATTTTAAGAGGCATAAAAAGGATTAAAAATTGGGGATTTTTTGACCTAAAAAACAAATTGGGAAAATTGAGCGCTCAGACAGCCAAGGGTTTGTCTTCAAATGCAAGATCAGAAACTCTAGTCCACACTATTGCTTCATCACCGCGCATACATTCAAATTCATAAGAAAACAATAAATACTGAAATTAATTACCAAATCCGCCGCCGTGGGAGCGGAGGAATTAAGCCGCCGCCGTGGGAGCGGAGGAATGCGTGAGATGTAGATTACTGAAGCCGCTGGTGAAGATGATGAATTGAGGGAGAGAAAGGGGTGTATTTATAGATGAATTTTGGGGCACGCTAGGGTTTAGGGGGGGTGGGTGTGGGTTAGGGTTTTAAGCTTTAGAGTTGTGGGCTGAGAGTGTACGTGTGTGTGGGCTGCTGTTTGAATAATTCAGAAAATTTATGGGCTTTCACTTTTCAAGTCTTAATAAAAAATTATTTAATATTAAGGGTAAATTACAAACACCCCCCTGAGGTATGGTCAAATTACAAAAACTTCCCTCTTGTTTGGATAATTACAACCACCCCCTCAGCTCTTCAAATTTAGTGAAATCTTCGAGATTATATGGAATATTATCACTTTTGTACCCGTTTTATCCCATTCGAACTCTACATTATGAAGCATGATGATCATAATATGTGATTTTTAGCTTGTATATATCAGTTTGTGGTGCATCGGAAACTGTATTTTTTACACAAAAAGAGTACAAACTAGATCACATTTCACGGAATCTAGATGACTATGTTGAATTTGGCACCATAAATGTGGAGGTCTAAGAAAAAATCATAGGTGAGGGGGGTAGATGTAATTATCCAAACAAGAGGGGGGTTTTTGTAATTTGACCATACCTCAGGGAGTGTTTGTAATTTACCCAATAATATATTAATATTATATTAAATTACACTACCTCCCTTGAGGTTATGAACAATTGCAGTGATGGCTTCTTAAATTTGAAAAACGTACACAAATCTCATCTTATGGGTTGATTTTTATTATATTTGAACTACAATTTACCAGATTGTTATAGAATATAAATAATATATGTATTGTTAGTCTTGAAAATATAAAGAACAAACGAATCGAATCAAATGCACCGAGAGAGACGGAAAATAATTGCTTCTCTAAGCTATATACATCTTTAAACCATGTTGACGTCTTGTAACATAGATAACATTTTTTACTCTTACTAAATTCGGTTCGTGTTTATGTTTTTCCTTT